TAGGTTCTGTCCCTTACCATCATATTCCCATTTAATCTTTTCCATAATGTATTTTCTGCTGTAATTTCTTTTGCAAACCATAGCATTGTTCATGTCTCTCTCAGTCAAAATACTCTCCTTTTAAAAAGGAAAACCTCTATTGTTTGTGAAATGGGGTATATTATTGAGAAAACAGCTTGAAATTGTAACATTTTGTATTCTTCCTGGGCACCCCCAAGCAGATTTTATCTTTTCAAACTACATAACATTAAGGAGGAGAAAACCAAAAGAGAAGGTTATTTAGAGATAATTTCTTTCCCATCTTCCCAATCTTTATTCTGTGCTTCATGAGATTGGTAAAGAACTATCTTTTAGCATAATTTTCTTCTTGTTAGACAAATGTTAAATGTTTAAAGTCCATCATTGCCTTTATAGAATTGAAAGGAAAATGCATAGATATTGTGTGTTCTTCCACATTTAATTGTGTTAGAAATAGATAAAAGCGTTCACATGATTAGATGGTCATGGAAAAGTAACAGGGGAACCAACTTTATTTGCAGTTGAGAACGCTTTATAAACTTTTTATTTAATGCTGTTATTTTTCTTGGAGTTTGAGATTTGCATGCATTAATCATTTTTTAAACTTACATTAAGGGAAACCTTAGGAAGAGTTTCAAGGGAGTAATTCTGTGGGTTTGTTCAGGCTGTGAAGTGGTGGTACTGAGCTGTGGGCAGGGGCAAAGGGGCTGTGCCTCCTTCCCATGCAGGGAGAACCCCTCCACCCCTGTGAGGCGACCGCCTGGGCCGACCTAGCACCTGTGGAAATCAGAGGATGTGCCCAGGTTTTCTTGCCCATTCATTTACAGACAAGGCCGAGTGCCTGCTCTATGCTGGGAGCTAGTTCTGTGGATAAACAGCATGTGTAGTGCTCTGAAACAACAAAAATAATCAGCACTCATTTCAGAGAATAATCTATTTGCTCTGTACCTTAAATGATAAATGATTTAGCACTTGGCTTAGATACACCTGTTTCAAACTGAGTTTGCTGGGTTACAGCTGGATCTCTGGGACCAGCTAGCAGTGAGAGGGTGCACCTGTTAGCCACCTCAGGCAAAGAGAGTGACATGCAGATTTCTCTGTCTTTCTGACGTTGTCTACCAAAACTATACTTGAAGATCACATGTGACTGAATCAGAAATGAGTGCTTTCAGCTCAGCTGTAAATTTAAGCTTAGGATTGTCTGGTGGAAGTTACTTGCTTTTCTCTTCTAGAAGGTGATTTTTCAGTCAAAAGGGAAAACTCATTGTATTTGTTTCTGAATTAGATAATTTTTATCTCTTTACCTTGAACAACTACTTTAGTTATAAACAAATGGAACAAAATTCCTGGCATTTTCTGTGGAAGATAAAAGAACAAGATTAGAACACAAAGCACTTGGATATTCTCAAGTATTTTAAAGGCTGTAGTGATGGTATGTTAGCTACTGTGCACGAGTTTGATTTCATTTCAGTATATTTAAAAATCTGTAAATATATTATTACCATGAGTATAAAACTATATAAAAGTAAAATGGCTAATGGCATGAAAATTTTTATTAATGTGAATACTGATACTATTCTTTTAACTCTTCCCTTCAAGTTTTCCTATAAACAAACGTCTATATTGGAATAATGCAATTCTCAGTTTTTCTACTTAAAAAATATTTTCATAGTATGTTGCATTTTGATGCTGCATAATTATCAGAAAATTTTTGTAAGTTGAAACTACTGAGCACAGCAAAGCATGTAACTTGTTTTACTTGATAAACTGTACCATCTAGAAGTAATTTCTAAGCGACGGTGAGATTATAATTTGCGTGTGTCCGCAGAGACAGTGGGGCTACACATGGCCTCAGAGTATGCTACAGACAGGTTCCTTGGTCAAGGTCATGTCCTGGAGCCCCAGCTCATTTGGACCGATGTGAGCCCCTCACCGAGAAGACATGCCCCTGCCCCTCTCCTGGCTGCTGTTGCCCTTCTGTCTACTGTGATGCTGTTCTGTGACTTCTGAGTGTACTTGTTTAGCTCTGCACTGAGGTGAACTTCCTGAATGAAAGACCATGTCTGCGTTCCTGTTGACAGTCACAGTTTCTAACGTAGGGCCTGTTGGCACATTAAAATACTGAATGCATGTTGAACAAGTTGAATGGATGTCCAGACTTGTCGATGATATAACTAAGGCACAGTTTATTTAAGAACAGTGTATATTCTTGAAATGATTTTCTTAAAAGAAACATCTGTGTTTTAAACACTGACATCACAGTTGTCATGCTTGCAAACCCTGAGATGCTAAGGGCAAGTCTTCAGGTCTAGCAGTGGCTCTCTTTTTATGGCAAAGCAGAGTGACCTGTTGGGCCTCTGTTTTATGGCAAAACAGAGTGATCTGTTGGGCCTGCTGTGAGCTGACAGCAACCTTGGAACCACCATCTCGCCTTCTGGTGCTCATGAGGACGCTGGGCCCAATACTACTTCTGTGAAAGTAAATGTAGCTGGAAGCAGTTAGGATTGGTTTAGATTCTGTGTCTCACAGAATTTTTATTACTCGTATTTTAAACGTCCACAGTGTTGACAACACGTTAACAAGCTGAATCCAGCTCAGCAGCAATGAAAAGACAACTCTAAAGCTAAGAGAAGGAAACCAAGAAAGGACAACTACAGGCTGGAAGACCACCTTTAACCAGGCCACCTTTAATCAGAGAGTGAAATACATGAGAACATCAAATACCAGACCTGTCCATGTAGCCGTCAGAATAGCTGGAACTTAGATTAGTTGAAGATGGTTTGATAAGTAAATGGGAAGGAAAGGCCAGGAGCACAGACCTGTTTCTGACATGTAGATTATTTTGGAAAATATGTTTTCAGTTTCTTCCCATCCTTCCCAAACTGGATTTAATTGATATCTTAACATAGATAATGATAGCAAATTATCAGTTTATAATAAAATAAAGTTCTGTGGAGGTGGACTTATTTATTTATTTTTATTTTTTATTGATTTATTTGTATATTTTTTGAGACAGTCTCACTATGTTACCCTCGTTGCAGTGCTGTGCCATCACAGCTCACAGCAACCTCAAACTCTTGGTGTAAGTGATTCTCCTGCCTCAATCTCCCAAGTAGCTGAGACTACAGGCACCCCGCCACCCAGCTGTTTTTTTGTTGGTATTGTCCTTGTTGTATAAGCAGGCCCTGGCCAGGGTTGAATCCACCATCCTAGGTGCACGTGGCCTGCGCCCTGACCACTGAGCTGTGGGCACCTGGCCAAGGTGGACTTACTTTAAAGGGTACTCCCAGCCCTGACCACTGAGCTGTGGGCACCCGGCCAACGTAGACTTACTTTAAAGGGTACTCCCAGCCCTGACCACTGAGCTGTGGGCACCCGGCCAAGGTGGACTTACTTTAAAGGGTACTCTCAGCCCTGACCACTGAGCTGTGGGCACCTGGCCAAGGTGGACTTACTTTAAAGGGTACTCCTAGCCCTGACCACTGAGCTGTGGGCACCCGGCCAAGGTAGACTTACTTTAAAGGATACTCCTAGCCAACAGGATGTCTCTCCTCTATTACTTGGAGCTGTGGAGCTGTGGGTATTTATGGTTCTTTATTTAGCAAGGTTTCTGTGACTAAGATATGAACTGTGGCTTTAGAATAAATACAAAATTCTGAGATTTAAAATTGTAGTCTTTGTCTCAGTGTGAGCATTCGTTGTGCACAGGTGAGAGTGGGCATTGTGTTGCCGCGTGACGCTTCCATGCGGCCACATCTGTCAACCTGCCTGTGTAGACATGGCAAGCAGCATACAGCTTGTGTTTAAGTTTGTTTTAATGAAGAATATCCAACATGATAATAACATTTTAAAATACGAATTTAAGGAAGAGACAGTTTGTCTTCACACACACACACAGATGTCTGTGTTTTGCAGTAACTTTCACAGAAGCATTTTTTTCTTTGATGAGTGCACACACAACTCAGAGACAGAACCCTTGTCCTTTACAAGAGGTAAGGAGAGAGAATCTGCCGTGCACACAAAATGAACGCTGAGGAGCTGATATGTGATGATTTCTGGGCTGATACGGTAAACTCCCTGTTACTGACAGCCCCAGGCTCATGACCCAGCCGGACAAAGCATCAGAGTTTGAGCCTGGTGCGCTGCCGTCATGAGCCCATGCTCTGTGTCATGTGCGTGCTCTCTGTGACACTTTTGAGCATTACTGTGTGTTAATTAAAGTTAAAAAATATGGTAGTCAACTAGAATTGTACACTGTATTTATAAAGCTGTTTTATAATACAGTAAAACTGTTACAGTAAGTGAAGCTTGTCTTTGTCTTAATTTGCTTATAATTAGTGTATTTCAATATTGATATAAAGTGCATAATGAGTTTGTGACACAGTGTGGGATAGTATGGGGCACAGAATTGGTCAGGCCAAATAGTTACTATTAGGCAACCAGAGACTACATTTATTCAGAATCTACCAGTCCCTATGGGTGCTGGATAACAGGGAGATTACTGTATTTTCTGCTTTTCTAGGAGAGCTATAGTTTTATTAAATCACATATTTGAAGGTACAATTTTAGTCTGTTCTCTTAAAATCTGAGAACAAGCTGGGCATGGTGGTATGCACCTGTAGCCCAGCTCCTCGGGAGACTCACTTGCCTAGGAGTTCTAGACCAGCCTGGGCACCATAGCAAGACCTTGCCTCTAAGTAAATTAATAAATGTAGTAAAATGTTAGAACATAGAGCATTCTTATGACAATTTTAAATTACCTTTTGTGTTAGAGGTAGGTATTAAAGCGCCTGGTTAAAGGTGGTCTTCCAGCCTGTAGTTGTCCTTTCTTGGTTTCCTTCTCTTAGCTTTAGAGTTGTCTTTTCATTGCTGCTGAGCTGGATTCAGCTTGTTAACGTGTTGCCAACACTGTGGACGTTTAAAATATGAGTAATAAAAATTCACTAATTTGCCAATTTTGTTTTTTTCCTCTCCTCCCATAGGAAGATAGTGACCCGCCCATTCATGAAAGTCTCAGCATAGAAAATACGCTGTGGGCAAGCACCGTGGTTGCGTCAGGTAGGTAAAAAGTCTGCCTTTGAGTGTGAATTCTCGTGGACCAGTGGTGCTTGGTGCTGACCAGGGACCCCCGGCCTGTGTTTCTCAAAATGCCCTGAGGTACTTAGGAGGTTGCTTTATGCAGACCACTGCTATGTGGGTTATGATGGTGCTGGTTATGACGGTGGCCACAGGCGTGCTGGTGAGGACTCCTAAACTTGGAGCACCAGGCCTCCAGTAGACCTGGAAGCATTATGGTGGTTAGGAGCACAGGGCATTGTGCTGGGTTTGACATTGTTTCTTGACAAACTTGTTCGTATGCCTTAGAGGCACACAGCATCTTGGGGAGGCCAGTGGAGACTTCAGGGGAGGAGGAGTGTGGTTGCTGAGACTGTGGGACAGAGAGGAGGAGAGGTGGATCCTGCCAGGCCGCAGGCCGAGTGCTCCTGGTGGTTGAAGAGGGAGGCCACTTAAATTCTAACTTTCTATGGAAGGCATTGACAATGTGATTATCACCTGTCAGAACTCAGCTGATGCTGATGCCAGGAGCTCCCAGAGAGGGCGATGGAGAGCCTGGAACCATAAGGGTACTGGGGGTTGCAGAGCTACCTGTCCACTGAGCACTTCCCAGGGACAGGGCTGGGAGCCTGTTGCTCCTTGGACACGCTCCCTCCTCGACAGCTGGGGGCTGCCCTGCCCTAGGCTCCAGCAGTGCAGTGGGGACCTCTATAAAGAGAATTATGAAACCCTGAGAAAAGAAATAGCAGAACACATTTACAAATGGAAGAACATACCATGCCCTTGGCTGGGAAGATTCAACATTGTTACAATGTCTACACAACAAAGCACCCTACAGATTCAGTGGAAAACCCATTAAAACACCACATCATATTATTATTGCCACAGTTACCCTGGCAATACCATGCTGTTTTGATCACTGTGGACTTGTAATATAACCTGAGATCTGGTAGAGTGATGCCTTCAGCTTTGTTTTTACTAGTAAAAGTTGCCTTGGCTATACAGTGTTTTTTCTTGTTCCATACAAAGATCAGCAGTGCAGTGGGGACACGGTGGTGTGGCCCTGTCCTCAGGGAGCAAAGGTTTGGTGAGAAGACCTTTAGGAAGTGATCCTGATTACTTGAGCTGTGCCAGGTTTCACAATAGTACTGATACTGTGGTATCTGAAAAATGTGCATGTCATGCAGCTCATCTACACAAGGGCTGGGGAAGGCTGACTGAGGAACACATATTTAAAACCATAGTTAATGAAGACGTAGGTGGGAACTGGAGAGGAGGATGGCAGGAGTGCTGCCGGGCATCCCTCCTAGAAGGCCTAGTGCTGGGAGAGACCCAGGATTCTGTAGGAAAGGGCCCCAGGGATAGTGTATGTGACCATGGAGAAGGGACGCACTGGACAAGAGGACTGTTCTGTGTCCGGTGTCTAATGGCTGTGTGCACGCAGAGCCGCATGGCAGCCTCCTCCCTGCCTGCCTTTCAGCAGTAAGAATACAAACAGGGATTTAATTTTATCCTAGTGGTTGGTAATGTGAAAATGAGCTTGGTAGCAAATAGAACAGTTTTGATAGGTGTAGTTACGTGGGTGTTTGTTTTTGTTACTTATATTTATGTTTTTTATTTATTTGTATTTTTTTATTCTATTTTGTTATTTCAGGTTAATGTGAGGGTTCAAAAAACTAGATTACAGCATTTGATGTAATCTAGGATCAAATGGAAGGTCTAATTTGAGTTCTTTGAGGACCATACTTCCTTCCAAAGAGGTCATATTAGTTGGCAGTCCCACCAGCAGTGTGTAAGTGTTCCCTCTCTCCACATCCCCCGCAGCATCTGCGACTTTTGGGTTTTGTGATGTGGGCTCTTCTCCCTGGGGGTAAGTGATACCTCAGGGTGGTGCATTTCTCTGATGATCAGGGATGATGAGCATTTTTCCAAA